TATATATATATATAAACAAGATTTGAGCGGGGTTTTTGTGGTTGGGCGGGTTTTACACTGCTTTCTGGAAACTGTCAGTATAATCTGGCATCCCTGATACCCAAGCAGTCCGAGCAAGTGTTCCGTCATCATTTCAACATGCCATGAAACTCTTTACTTTTATGTTTTTAGCAGTTCTGTGTAGTTTACTTTACATTAAGTCAGACATGCTTGTAGTACTTTATGGTGATTGTTAGGAGATACATTTTAACTCTGTACACTTTAAATGCCTCGTAGAGCACTGCTGTTGCAGAGCTAAAACAAATAGAAACACTTTTTCCGACATTCAGACGAGTCTGAACTGAATAAATTGAAGTTCTCCATCCATGAAGTGGCCTTTTTTAAGTTAGAAAAAAATTAGCTTCATTTACTTTTTACTAGGCCTTATATTTCTGTTTTTTGTGAAAATGTTATGTCAGAAAATACTCTTCTAACACTGCAACTTTTCTTATCGTTTCTGTATAACCTGCACCTGCTGCTTTTGTTAAAAAGAAGTGAAAGCATACAAAGAGAGGCAGAATGCCCAGCTCCAGGTGAACAGGAAAGGTTAGTTAGCTTGGACAGCGTTAAGCAGTGGGCTCAGCGTCAGTATCAGCACGTCAGAGAGAGGTACAGTGTCACAGTATGTCTTCAGTCTGCTGCTGCTGCTTTGCTCTGTTTCAGCTCAAGCTCACCTTCATGTTGTCTCCTCAGGAGTCATCACGTTTMAAAATGTGTTTTATCACACTAAAATATTTAACAAAAATGTTCAATTTTACAAGAGAATTTAAAAAGTAGTGATTTAAGCAGATCGGTCCAGATTAGAGCTAGAATAGTGAGTCAGCGACAGGAATGTTGCTTTGTGTTAAACTAAGAATTGCATTTTTTAGACTGAACATTTGAAATTTTCTTTTCCATTTTTTTTCTTCTATTCTGCTGTAAATGTTTACAGTGGTGCAGGTTCAGGGTATGTTCTTTAGTGTTGTACTTTGTTTTTCTCCTGTTTTCTGTGGTGTTAGTGTTAAACCAGTAGTGTCTGTAGACCTCATACAGTATTCAGTCCTTTCTGGAATTGGCAGGATTGTTGTTCATTTAAGACTCATTTTATTTTAAAATGGTCAAATTACCAAASAGTATCATTATTTCAAATAATCTTAACGGCACTAAAAGCATTGCTAAAACCTTTTACCACAATCTTTAAGTGTTCCCACACGTAACATGCTGCACTTTTTTAGTCTTCCAATTCTATTTTATATGTTTATTGAAAAAGTATTCACCCCTTGTTTTTGTTCAACATTTTGCTCTACAACCAAGGAGTTATATTCATGCAATCAATTGTAAATTTTAAATCTAGATACCGTATTTATTATAATAATTAATTATATTACAACTACAAACGTGAAAAAAGTGAATAAGTTGTGTGTATTATGTTGCTTTTGTTGAAAAAAACTGACCTCAAAAGCAGCATTATGGGAAGGTTTTGGTTTAGATACACCAGCACATAAACCTAAATTTCTCCTTTCCACTTCAAAATATTACAGTTCAACRATTAGAGGTGAATAGATCTTTCTTGTGTGAGAGAAAGATCTATTTAAGTGACCCCACCCCCCATCAGTCCTGCGATTCTAAAATTGCAAAAGATTTGGAAACCTGAATACTGCTAATAGTTACAATCCCATACCACAGTTTGTATCCCTTGAATGCATTACTTTAATAAATTCTGATTTAAGCATAATGTTTAAAATCAAAAACATTTTTCTAATTGCACGTTTGTTGCCACATACAGGATTCTGGGAATCAACTTGTTTAAACTAACTGAACCCAAACGACCACTAAAACCACAGAGGAAAGAGAGAAAGAAAGTGACGACTCAGAATCTGTCTGATGGAGACATCAAACTGCTCATTAACATCATCCGGGCCCACAACATCCCAATCCGCAAGCCTCAGAGCAAGTGAGTCCTTCYGTCATGCTCAATACACACTGCCTGGTCAAAAACAAAGTGTCCACCTGGAAGTAACTAAGGTCTATGATGTGGGGTTGCTGTAGGTGGTCAGGTCCAGGTTCAGCAACAGTCTGTGCTCAAAGAATGAGGTCAGCTGACTACCTGAATATACTGAATGACCAGGTTATTCCATCAATGATTGTTTCTTCCCTGATGGTACGGATATATTCTAAGAGGACAATGCCAGGATTCATGGGGCTCTTATTGTGAAAGAGTAGTTCAGGGAGCATGAGACATCATTTTCACACATGGATTGTCTCCACAGAGTCCACTGAGAATCTTTGGGATGTGATGGAGAAGGTCAGACTCTACCATCGTCAATGAAAAATCTTGGTGAAACATTAATGCAGCACTGGATGGAAATAAACCTGGTGACGTAGAAGTTTATCCAAACAATGCCACAGAGAATGTGTGTCGTAATCAAAGCTAAAGATCCAACCAAATATTAAGAGTGTGACCTTTTTTTATTTTTGACCAGGCAGTGCAACTTAAAATAAAAAATGTGTAAAGTTTTGTTTACTCTGATCAGTCCTTTATAGGCTGTAGTTAGTCTGTAGCTGACAACATACTGAACTGTTTTACCTGGTTTTCATTTCAGTAAACCAGGACAGTTTCCTCAGAGCGCCCCCCAGGGCAGTGACTGGTACCTCAGCCAGGTACAGTACACCTGTCAGTACGGCCGACAGCTGTGGGCTGCATTTCATCTAGTTCAAGTGTGTGCCCTTGTTTTTGCTACTTGGTAGTGACAATTTTTCAGGAAAATGCAGCCTTGTGGGGACTTTGGAGGCTGATTTTGGGTGGGTAGGTAGGTGGGAGGTTTAGGACCAAGGTGGGAATTGAGTTTAGGTAAGTTTTAGGGTCAGGTTGGTACCTGTGAGGTTAATATTAGGGTTAATAGTCAGGGTTAGAATATAAAATTTCAAAGAAATGAATGGAAGTCAATGGAAATTCCCTACAAGGATAGAGAGACATAGTAGAAGTGTGTGTGTGTGTGTGTGTGTGTGTGTGTGTGTGTGTGTGTGTGTGTGTGT